TTTGCGTCCGGCGATCTTCGTGAGCTGGCCCTTCACTCAGCTGCCTGGAAATATCTATGCGAGCGGCCCACTAACTTGCGTTTTGCTCGCGATTGAGTGTGTTGTACGATGGAATCTGGAAAGGATCATCCGAAAAATAACCCGGCAGTGGTTGTTGTTCCTCCGTCAGGCAGGTGGGTTTACTCCAACTAGTCCACTGGTGTCTGGAACTGGCTCTCATTGAAGTTCACTGTTTTTATTGATCCTGCGCGCGGCAGACCTCCGGAGGCCCCCTTCGCAGACCCTGCAACCGGCGCACCTATTCAAGGCAAAGCATTTTCTCAGACCAGCCCAGCGAAACCTAAGGCTAATCCCTCGAAGTTTCTAGATCCTGAAGAGATTGACAACGTTTTTGAGCGGCAGGAGAGCCGCCTGCCAGATTTATGCGAAGAGGAAAAGAAAGGTTCAACTTCAAAGTAACAGAGTGAGCGGTTAGCACCCGATGGCATCTTCCAGACAAACATGCCGGGCTGTGCCAGGCCAGCTGGCTACGGCTTAGGCGCGATTTGAGCCTTGTATTTTTGCCTTGATGTGTTTTCCAGCAGAAGAGACGGCACCCCCGAAATTTTCGGCGTAGACCTTTGAGTATTCAATAACACCTGTTGGCGTTTGCAATATGGCTGGCCATTGGCGTGACCCAAGGTTGGTGCAATTCTTACTGTAGGGCATGTTGGCGAAAATCACCACCAGGAATGCCATGAGTCCAACGAGAACGACTGTATATCGTTCATTCATGTCTTGTATTTTGACGCTTAGTGCGGGTTGTGCTCGTGACTCACCACTGCATGCAACAGAAAGAGTCCAAAAGAGCACCGCATCAGACTTCAAGCACGCCTGATGATTGAGTTGGATCGAAACATTTCGTTTTGACCAATTTTATTGTTCTTACCATAGACTCCGCTAGAATTACCGTTCCAGATAACGCAACGGCAGCATCAAGCACGAGTAATATGTGGTAGGTGTAGGCCTGCGCAGGTGTTGTGTCGCATAGTTTTTCCCGACAAGATGGTTCGGTTCAGCTTACAAGCAAGATATCAATAACTCTGAAAAATCCTTGTCATTTCTGTTGGGATATCATACTATGCTATCAGCCTTACCCAATGGTAACAGTCCCGGATGTTAGAGAAACCTGTATTTTAGACGTCGACACGGGAAAAGTGGTTGGTGTTTAAAATTCCGCTGACCTCAACCAGTTCCTTAATGGACCTATAAGAGAGCCAGATGTTCATCAAGTCTACAAGTTTTCGGNGCTGACCTCAACCAGTTCCTTAATGGACCTATAAGAGAGCCAGATGTTCATCAAGTCTACAAGTTTTCGGTTATCATACTCACCAAGGGTGCATGATAATTTTGCTCTCTGTGCTGGCTCCTTCATTCCTGGCGTACGCCATGAGTCCGGCGCAAAGTCCAGTCTGAACTAACGTTCTTCGAGCTCCAGCGAAATGTGTGTTTCGTACATACCGCAATGAGAAGGCCTCCCAGCAACTTTGCGAAGCCTGGAAAGCCAAGTAAGGAAAATTCATTTGCAGTGTTTTCAGTTCAACTTCTTACTTGTGCATTCGGGGCAATAAGTTGCGAAGGCAGCTGAGGCAAAGCATGCAACTGCTCCGCACAACGACGCAGCGAATGCCACCTGATATTCTGAATAAGATCCCGCTTTGCTAACAGGTGCAAACAACTTGAACTGACCTGCAATGCAGTCTGCAGGTGGCCCTGTAGTTTGCCGCGCATGGCCATGTGGCCATCAAATGCCATCCGTGCTTGCATCCACAGCTGCATTTTCGCAAACGTTGGAAATCAAAAACGATTTGGACGGAACTGGGATCAAGCCACGAAGAACGAGCACCGTTGGAAATATCAGAAATAATGAATCTGACCGGTCATCACGGCTTTCATTTGCATGGGCTGTCGGTACACTCGGCGGTTGCCGGTGTATGCACAGTATGCGCATACATTACATTCAAAAAAATACACTGGAAAGGCGGGGTTTGTTCCTCCTGCTACGGTTTCTTTTCGGACGCAGCTGTTTCTTACGCTGGGTCATCCAATAACGACAATAATCTACCAATATTTTCCCCACTTAACGCTCTCCAAGTGAAACTATGCATATATTTTGTTTTCTCTCCTTCAATGCCCCTGAATTTGCGAACGACTTGAATGGAACTCTGTCTTGCTTCTGTGCAAACTGGATTGGGTGAAAAGCGCTGCACACCACAGTGTGCTTAAGAGTTTAGTAAGGCCGCCCAGGCAGCACAAGCATCACGCTGTGTGAGGAATATAGGCTATCGGGCGGCGAAAACCGAGCATGCGCTTTCCTTCGGTCCTATTCACAGTTCTGGGTAGTACATCTAGTTCAAGTCAGGGATGTTTTCTGCAGGCAAATTATCTGACGATAATTCTCGAAATTGTGAACATCCCGGGTTACAAACCAATATGAGGTGCAATCATATCTCAACAACCTCATCTTATCCGTTGCCCCTGGCGATTCACGTAGGAGGCATTCTTTAAGGTCCGCGACACAGTTACTGCCGGTGCATAGATTCGTACAGTTCGTATTCCTTCCAGTTGTGCCGCCTGGCTCCTTAATGGAGAGCAGGCACCTAGAACCAACTCGAACTCCGAACAGCTACAGTACCTATAGCAACGCATGTGAAGGGAAATGCAGTTCCTCGACAATCCAGCGCACCAATTCTGATTATCTGTTGTGGGGAATATGCATTTCTCCCCGTCGTGCTTTTTACTTCTCCATGGGGCCTCACTCGTCGGGGAATAAAACCATGGCTTAGAATTAAGATATGAGATGCACAAAGCTAAACTGTGCACAGCATAAACTATGATTTTACGTACAAAATGTAGCAGCTGCATCGCTTCTGTAAATGCGTTCTACTATGTGGTTCAGCTCCTTCGACGTTCAGCGATTGTTAGTACAGAAAGAACCCCAGATCATTGGTTTTATACCATGAATGGGAACAACATGAGATTTATATTATGTTGTTCTTTCTGAAGCATCTCAATTCATTCCCTATGCATGCCCTGCTGAGCTTGCGGAACAGTTGACGAAGTGTTTCTCGCTGGCGGCTACCATTAGTTACTGCTTGCTCCTCCTAGGCATAACACTAAATCTTAAAACTCCACTATTCCAGGGGCGAAGAAAAGCCATATGGTTATCGAAGATTCGGGTTCATTTCAGCTGAAACTCAGAGTGGCATCTAGAACCGGTCCACTGCGGTCCACTCACTCTATGCAGCCGCATGCAGACCAACATGTGTAATTCGCTAAGATACATTTTGGGGATTTTGACTTGAACACAAGACATGCAAATAGTTTGCTGGCTGTGTGCGTGTCCAAGCGTACAAACACGCTTCTCCACTGCGCCCAGAGCAGCAGTCTCAACGGGGCTCCAGAACACGGTCGCAGAAAAATGCAGATATTTCAAAGAGCCTATGAAAATTGAAAAGCATATGTAAAAGCTGTTGGAATTTCATGCCATAGTGATGGTGCTTTGCNAGAGCCTATGAAAATTGAAAAGCATATGTAAAAGCTGTTGGAATTTCATGCCATAGTGATGGTGCTTTGCGAACAACACATTCGTATCCAAAGGCAATCGGCAGGAAGAACTATCAGCCAACCGGCACGTCACCATTCCGGTCACGGGCTCCCCACTGCTGATCATGTTCTATCCTCAGCTATGCTGCTCTATGTTTAAAGTTTATCTCTTTGTTCCCTATTCGTGGGTGGAAAGGGAGCAGTAGCACCTGTCGGTTCAGTACCAGTGGACCGCCTGGCCACATTTACCGCAGGCGAGGGCCTATAAAACCGAAGGCTCTTCAGGTCACTAGCAACAGGCACAGTTTCTGGCTTTCTAAAGGTATCATCTCAGCAGCTTTGCTATTAGACAAGTGTATCGTTGCACATCGACTCCAAAGGGCACCGGCTGTCTCTCCGCTTGGAGGATCGACTTGCCTCCAGTCAGGAAAGCCCGAGGCTGCTCCTGAAATTTAGGCGGTCCACAGGTTGCCGCCGTGCTGAATAGCTGGAGTCAATGAGGGAACAGGTATACCCCTAGAACAGCGTGTATGCAGAAAGCAGGACCCCACGGCGTACTGTGCTTCTCGCCGCTGCAACGGATAGGAGCATTATGGAAGCGGCAGCCCCTCAAGTCTGACTGCGCAGCGAAGCTAAAATGGCGGATTTAACCTCGCTGCTCCTAGCTGCCGCTTTGGGCGGAGGCGGCCCGCGGCAGCCGTCTGGCGGTCTTGAAATGCCTACACTGTTCAACTGCGGGGCAAAGGAAGCGGAACCAGAGGAAAAGTTTGTCAATGCTCCTCCACCCAAGCAGGGGCCACTCTTCCTGCGTATGTGCGTTCTTTGCGGAAATGACCTTGCAGCAGGTGGGGCTTAGAGCTTTCAAGTATGAATTGGAAGCGGTGTTGTGTNATGGACCTTCCAACATCAGTATTTCGCCTCAACAAATTTGAAATGCATTGCTGTTGTGTCTAATATAGGTGACGTGACGGGGGCGTCTGACCCTTACGTGAGCATTCGCTATGAGGGGCATTCCTTCTGCTCACCGCCCCAGATGAACACACTGAACCCCGTGTGGGAGTATTCATTTGAAACGGAAATCAAGGTCAGTTGAAGTGCAATATGGAGGTGAACTTGTATTAGACATCAGGCCAATGCTCCTCAGGTGGCGAACGTGGTGTTTTGGTGGCTGTGTATCCATGTTTCGGTTACTGATTAGGAAAATGGAACGTTGCACATCAGCGTCTACGACCAGGACATGGGGATGCAGGGGGATTTCTTGGGGTCATGTCAATTGAAGATAACACGGAACCCTTCAAAACTCAAAAAGGAAACAATTCCTCTTGTTTCCGTTCCATCTCCTTTCTTTTCTAAGCCCCCAAACAGTCGCATAACTGTTTTCTACCATGTGGTCGAGAGGCTAGAGGACCAGCCCGACTTGGTCGAGCTTGCGAGACGCCTTGGCGATGATGCCAGCGAGAAACAGCAACCGCAGAATATGACTGTCAGGTGCTGTTGCCTCCAGGTAGGTGTGATCGCGTTGTCAATTTTGTCCCAGTTCGAGAGTCAGCTGTCGGCTGATCTCTCTGCCGCACGTATGTACGTGTTTCAGCGATGATCAGTGCCCTTCGTACTTCTCAACTCCATGCTCTGTTTGTTGCAGACGGATCACACATCTGTCTCAGAGGATAAAATGGCCGCTCTCCGGCTAACCGTTGGCCAGCAGAAAACCATCAGCCCGCCGGGGGTACCCGACGGCTTGCGTTATTTGTATGGACCTCCGGGCGTGGTAAGCTATACAAAAGCGGGCCGCCTCCCTCTTTCAGCTGATATGCGAAAATACGTTGTGACATCTGTCGATACAGAATGCGTATACAAAAAGTAACAGCGTTGAACGCACGTTGCCGCATACTCTCCTTTTGTAAGGGGCAACTGCATAGGGATGCATGCAGTATCCGACTGGTTCCATTTGNGATCTGGTGCAGCTGCGCATCGTCGTTGACTGGATGCTTCGCGATGCAACCGTGCGTGTGGTTTCTCTCACGACAGTGACGCATTGCTGCAGATAGGCAATATATTTGAGTTTTAATAAGCAGACCTACATGCGCCCTTTGTCTGAGGTTAAATGGGCGTCAGTTATGGGGCATAGCAACTGTAGGTTTTATCGCATGCCGTTCCCTGTGTGCAGGCGGATGAAATAGAAGGGGCACGCAAGGAATATTTGAGTGCCCTCGCCACCACAGACCAAAGTCCCGATTCCACATCGATGGAAAATGCAGACGCAGGCAAAGGAGAACCGTCCCAAGAGTGTCAAGAGGCGGAAAGCCCGAACGACCGCCACGCCCCCTCCAAAGTGCGTTTCGAAACAAAGGGTAGCGACCCACCCGAGGAAGACAAGAAAACCCAGGATAATGAGGACACATCCACATCCGCAATATGCACGAACCCAGGACGTAAGTGCGCAGGTGTGCAGCTGTCGACACCTGACACGTATCCTGAACTCAGTCAGCTTTGCGCAAGGCGAGTTGCAAAGCCTCCACCTGCCTGTTGCAGCTTCCACTGCCAACTGTGCCCGCAGGATCCAAGAGGGGCCGACGTGGTAGCCGAGGAACTTCAACGCAGGTGCGTGAACCTACCTTGCCATTACACCCGGTGCAACAAGTTACACTGCTTTCTTTTCTTCCTTGCTTCGGGTTGCTGAGGCTTCTGGGTATCCGTTGACTTGCTCGTATATATACAAATAATTGACAAGAGAGAACGCACTGCTACCAGCGAGATGAGCGCCGCATACTAGGATGCTGTTTCTCTGTTGATCTCAGAAAGGATTCCGAACCTTTGCCTCGTGGCAATTACCCCTCGACGAAATCCGCGAGTTCTGCAGCGAACGCCGGCTCTGTGCTTGGGCGGGTCGATGTGTCCTCACAAGCAAAACGGGAGTAAAGAATGGAGAGGTACCACACCCTCATAGCAGACTTCTTCCACTTCCTCTGCAGGTGCAGGTCGTTGTCATGCAGCTCTTGCGTGCCGTTCAGCCAACAATTTGCTGTGTCTGGGGGTGTTCACGCAGCTACTAATGCACATTGACGTTTTTGCGGAAGGGGAGAAGCCTCTGCGGAGAGTAAACATACTACGATTCCCGCCGCCAGTGTAAATATCCCGTTACCCTCCTTTAAGACCCCTAATGACTAGTTTATTTGCTCTATTCATCAGTTGGTTGTACAACTAGATACATTACCTACCCTCCGCAGAGGCTTTTCCCCTTACGCAGGAAGACTGCTTCTCCTGCCATAGGTGGCCTTCGTTAGCCTCCTTGTGTTGGGCTGTCAGAGTGTGTGTTTAGGTCTCTTGGTTCCGCCAGAAAAGCCGCTTTGACTTC